AGCTGCTTATTCACTTTTGGGCCAACGTTTGTTTCAATAGGTACTTTTGTCTTTTCCTTCAAAACTGGCATGGATGATTCTATGGTTTTTAAGCATTCCCTTGAAATCGTTAGTATGTTCACCTGTTACAAGCTGAGGACGCGGTGCTTTGTTCCTAATGCGATTGAATTTCATCTTCTCCCTTAAGAAGGAAGAGAAAAATCTAAGAATGGTGCCTGTGGATGCACTTAAGGTTTTAGTTGCAGGCGTCGCTGTGCCTGACCAGATTTTATATGACACATGAAACTAACTACATGGTACTTAGCTTCACTGTAAATGAATATGAGACTGGAAGAAAACAAGTCCATCAGCAAAAGTGGATTGTTTCTGTTGCGTGACTAAAGCAGATCCATCAAAGGACTTTAAAAACCACATCAATTAAAAGTTCATTAATTTTAGTACTGTAGTGTGATTAGATGTTTTCTATTTATATTCAGCTGCCATTCCATTATCCAAAACCTGATTATTCAAATCCCTGGATTACACAAAGAACTTTCTCCTCTTCTTAAGTGGAATAAGCATATTAATTGCAACTTCTGTTTTTTTTAGAAATTTCCTTAAAATTTCTCAACTGGGAAAGGGGTGAGAATAGCCTAAACTTTATTTTTTCAAATACAGACTACAAATATGATTACATTTATTTTACAACAGTTTTCATTTTAGGTGATATTTTGGCTTAGAAAAATAATACAATGAATGGTCCACTCATCGATAAATGATGAATAGATTATCTTCAAAATGTAACCTTTTACTTTTGGTCACTAAATGTTTTTTATAAATTATTTTTAAAATGAATAACTTCATTGAATAACAGATTTTTTTTTCCTTAAGAAACACAGCCTCAGTAGCTGAAGGTTTTACTGAAGTGAAGGTAATGTCACAGTAACAAACATTCAAATAACAGGCCTTTCTTAAATATCAGCTGCAGAGGTTGCAAGAATCGTATTTCTAAATAGTTTATTTTATTATTGTGATGTGATGCTACAAAACTGAAGTTAAAATTATTTTAACAGACAAGGTCATTGCTCATGTTGTTGGATTTATTTTGGCATTTTGTTTCAGTAATGTTTGTTAGTTTTTCTGCAAGTCTCAAATATTTTTGCCATGCAGCACAAACAAAAAAAAATCAACACATTGATTTCAGAGAAAAGACCCTAAGAAGCGTACCAATGGTTTGAATAAAAGTTGCAGTAAGCGGAACAAATGATGCACACACTTCTATCAACAGTGTCTTTTACAGTCTGATCAGTTGTGTTGTGGAATATTGATTTCTGTTTCGTTCAGACTGGCTTAACTTCAGATCTTGAAGGCTAAAACTGCCCACTTTCATAAGTTCCCTGGACACACGCAATGCAAACTCAGTTCTCCAGTTAAAAGGTGTGTAATCTGAAAGCCAACAGTCTAGTTAACTCTATTTACTTTCAAATCTAAATTATCAAAGAAAATATGTAATTGTTGTTTTAGCTTCAGCATAGTTTTGAAAAAACAGCAATATTTTATCATTTTATCATTTGATTTGTTTTCAATATTGGAGAGAATGTATATCACGCTTTTCACCACAATACTGTTCATTCTTAACTAATGTAAACTAATACACTAAAGTACATAGGGGTGAAGTCTAGAAACACATGAAAAGACAGTGAATATCACACAAACTTAATAAATTGGCTTTGTGCCACTCATACCAGTTACATTGTTAAGAAATTTCATGATTGATCTACTTTGAGTCACATAAATCTGCCAGCTGCCTTTTTTTCTGATGTTTGGTCTGCACGCATTTAATTTTTAAAATTCTGATTTGTGAAATACTTTCAAGGATTCTGGATGTTGTTTATTAAAACCATGTGCAGAGATCAAATGGGCTCTGAAAAACCTGAAGTGGGAAAATAGGTTTTTCTTTACTTAGCTAAAGCATGTAAAACACTTTTTACATCGTTTTTCCTGCCTTTCTTTTTTCCCCAGGATTAATGTCACAAGATCACAAGAAAAATATTTCCCATTACATAAATGCAAAGATCTTACTCTACTAACTGGTGAAGCACCACCTGCCTGAATTCTGACATAACCCTTTGCACAGCCACTACTGTTGACTTCATCTGGGATTACAGCATATCTCTAAATGCCTGCGATTTACAATGCTAAACTGCGCTATTGACATCTCCTTTAATTCCCTGCAGAAGGCAGAGAGCTGACAAGTCACCTGTAACGGCTCGCAGAATGTGGTGCAACGAATTTACTGTATACCAATAGATTAACTACTTGCCCACAGATATATGCAGGTATGGTTCTCGGTGACATGTAAATAGTTATCAAGTCCATTTCTTACAGACCAACATTTCCTACAGATCATACTTTCCAGCAAATTAGCTCCTGATTACAATTCAGACAGTTTTGTGACACAGACATTCATTACATATTAATGCCATGCACCGCTGGGAATACATGTATGAAAACACCATCATCAAAGGTGTAAATACACCTGAGATCATAGCTTTGAAACAACTATTTTTTAACTAACAGATCCGTGAGATGTGAATACACATCACAGCATTCTCTAGTACACAAGACAAATTTTTCCTTTCTTTCTTATTCTCAGAAAAATAGTATCCTTAATGAATCAGGCCAATTCTGCAGTGACTTTCTTTGCTCCGGCAAGCCCATTTAAGAGGAAAGGGAATACGACATCTGTGAACCCTTCTTTACCTTTAGTGTTTGATGGTTTAAAGGGCTAAACGTGTTTTCATTTGCATTGTTTTCATAATGATACAAAGGTTTTGATCACTGAAAACACACGTCAGATGTTACACGGTGAGATCATTCTGCCTTAAGGCTTTTTGACATGAAGTTCAAAGATCTCTCCTTGAATCAAGAAAAACAAGAAATTAATTTCTTTCTTAAAGACACAGTTCTTTGCTGGCTGTTAAGTATTCTCTTTACAATGCTCGTGTGAATACAGTGTACTGTGAGTGTATTATTTAACAAATTATGTATATGTCCTTATAACCATTAAATCCATTTCTTTAAATAACAATCAAAAGATTGCACTGTGTTGTGATAGTTGCAGCTGCAGAGATCCACTATGTTTGCTACCTGTACTTATACATGATTAACATCAACGATTTGCACAACCAATAATTTACACAAGACTCAAAATGTTATTAATATTCATTTTCTCATGTCTTCTTCATGCAACATATAACTGTAGCAATGCATCAGTCATCAATTTTCAAGTTACTTTTTAAGCTCTTGACATGAGGTGACTGTCGTCAGTCTCACTTGGATTAAGTTAAAATGTGGGCGCTGATAGGTGGTTCACTAACTCATTGTGTCTTTTTCTGTTTCTGCATAATGGAACAGAATGGGACAGGCTTCACATGTTGAGTACTACATGGAATGCATTATTGTGATTAAGGCAGTTTGCACTGTACCTTTTGATGTAAATATATATCCGACAACACTTGTGTAATCTTGTCAGGTTAATAAAACTACTTTTTAGATTGAATTTGATCATATGTGTCTTTAGCATTGCACACCACTTGATTACTTGTATTCCAACATTTGCATGCTTCACAATAGAGTGCCTCGATGATATTTGAAGAGAGCCTTTTATATTCCAGAGTTTGCTGTTATATGTGATTCAGTGCCAGCACTGCTGAGTTCTAAGCGCACATTTTCTAATGCACATTACAGGCACAGCCAATTACTGAACAAATACATCTAAACTAACAGAATTCGACTGTTGTTGTTTTTAAGGTCACATACTACATAAATGTATGATTTCAAATTCTGAGCGCGTGCATTTTGACACCTTGGCCACCGCTGTCTTCACAAAGAAATCCCTGAACCGCTGTCAGACTCACTTTAAAAACCTAGCATTTTAATACACTTTAACTGGAATCATTAACTGGTTAGACAAGAAAGAGGCACATCATTACTTTCAAGAAGAAGAAGCATCACCACATGTTTTGCTAAAAAAAGTGGGACAAAAACAGCACAATTTGATAGCACAGACAAACAAAATAAGCAGCTTAATTGTGCACCTGTGTTTTTGAGTGTGTATTTGTCACAGAGAAGGTTATTATCTTATGTTTAAAACAAAACAATGTTTAATAGTATTCAGTGAAGGTCTTGAATTTCTGTACAGCCTTTGTACTGGAAAACCACAACATGTTTGCATGAAATTGAAACCTTTTATTATCAAGACAAAATCTAAAGCTACTGTCCTGCTTTGTTTTTTTGTTAAGTAGACAATTTCAATCATTTGAATTTTATTTAAACTGGAGCCAAAGTCACAGCTGCAGTTTCATAACGGCAACTGAAATAATAACTTTAAGACCCCCCTAATGAATTGTACAGTGATTCTATTTCCATTACTGCAATCCATTCTTAAAATTATTCCCAGGATCCCAGGTGCTTCATTTCCATTCTCAACTGAATATAGCTATGAAGAAAATCCACTGTCTTAATGAAAATAGTAAGGTACTTACAAAATATAAATTAATATTCATCAGTGGGCAAAGCCCTATGGGCACACGTCCATCAACTGTTTCTCTTCAAGGAATTACATTTTTTAATGGAAAGAAGTACACTTCTTTTTCGCTTTAGTGAAAGTCAACCGTAAAGATTTACTGTTGCCTGTATTATGGGTTCAAATTATGGTTCTTAAGGCCTGAGTTAAATCAAAACTTTGACCTATCTGCCAACTGCAAACTGCGAACTTCACTGCCGGATCTCTGTAGACTAGAAGAGAGGAACCTATTGCAAATGCAAACCCATCCTCAAGGACTGGATTTAGAAATCTCATTGGACAGATTTAACACTGGCGTTTAGATTTTACTCAATGGGGAGCATGAAGAGACATTTCACGAGGGAGTACAAGGCTAAGTTAAAAGCTGAAAAAGATGACTAAGCTCTCTTGAATTTATATACATACTGTAGGTCTGGTATAGCCAGAAACATACCTCTCTCTTTTTGGAGTGTGACCCATAGGCTGCCCGTTGGTGGAAGCGTGTTGGTTGATGAGCGTGTTCTTAGGAGGAGCTGGGGAAGTGATGGCACTGGTGGACAAGTCCAGGCTGCCATGGCTGTTCGCTGTGTTTTCATCTTTAACATGTGTGCCAGTCACTTCTTTCCAAAGCTGCTGCAGATCTGCTGGAATCATGCCTGAAACAAACAAATTGGATAATTAAATCAATTAACAGCTAATCCAACTCTCTTCGTCGGTTAATTAAATCAAAGGGTCTGTAAACAAAGCCAAGTATTAATTAGAAAATATTTTACTACAGGGTAATGCTCTCAGAACACTTACTGTTTTCACACTGTAATCTACAGCTTGTTTGTACATACAAATCCTTGCAATTCAAAAGCATTTCATGCCCATGATAAATAATTAACAAGCAGATAGGGCATGAAATGTGAATAATCATTATTATTTTTAACAAGACATAACAGAGGAAACCAAAAGAAGTTTACAATTGCAAGCCTTTATTTTGCCCTCACAGTCAAAATAAGACCTCAGGTTAAATACAAACGAGCACATTACTATTTAATGTGCAAAATACTTTCTTCTGTGTATCACCTACAACCGATGCAAAAGACTTCAAATGAGAACATTACAGCCCCCTGCATCCCTGTAGATGATGCGTTGCTGAAAAGGAAAGTCTTCTCTCTATTTCTGTTAAAAAGATTTATTTGATTTTTAATATTTTGTTTTCATTACAGGGGATACTGGCATCCAGGGTAATATTTGTATTTCAGGAAAGATAATGCTATGTTTGCATACAGCATTTCTGAAGACCTGTACTATTGTTTGCATATAATGTACATGTGTATATGCCACCACACATGCAGTGACTGATAAACCCCCTCACAGTATGCAATCAACTAAGTAAAAAACAAAACATCAGACAGAAAGCTCATTCCATTTTAAATGCAAAAGGCTAGCAAGGATCACAAAAACCAAACAAAAGAACATAGAAATAACAATGCAGATAAAATAATGTATCGTATAACTTGCATTGCTTGTTCACATACATTATCAAACCAGGTATTTATAGGTACTCCCTCTATAGAGTTATGCAATTAATGCAACAATACTTGTTAAATATTACTATTTTCAAAAGGAGCAATTGAAAACGAAAGATTTTTCTCTGCACGCTTATCTTGGTTTTCTGAGGATTTTTTATCGTTCTTTACAGATATCCAAGTGTTCCTTTCAAGCACAAAACATAATACATCGTATAAAATGCTTAGTCTTAATTTATTCCTGTTGTTGCAAATAACTATGAAGTGAAGATCTCAATATGATCAGCAAAAATATTTTTAATTTGATAAGCTACTAAAGATTTTAATTATGCTCGTAATAGAGAACATTGGTCTAATGAGGCAAAGGGCTCAAGAGAGACGGAGTGGCTAAGAGCTGTGAAATGAGTCTGATAGGATTGCTGTACATTCAGAGTGGATCGTTTGCATATCAAAGAGCAGGAAATTACTGCAGGACAAATCAATAACCTTTCCACGTTCCAAGGAGCATCTCCTGCTTATTTTATTATGGCATTTTTTGCTTTTTTTTCTTTAACTAACCAATTCATATTTAGCCACTTACATACACTTAACAGCTGTTTAAATTAACATATAAATATTCTCCAATGGATATAATTTTTAATTTCAATCTTCATATTCAGCAAGTGTGAGGTGTCATTTTGATTATAGCCTCAGAGTGGAGAGAATCCTTAAATGAAAGTTTCCATTGTAGTTTGCACAAAGGAGAAGGTCACCATACAACTTAATGTCCTGTGCTACTGCATCTGAACGATCATTTTCCAACACCTTGCAAAGTGACAGTACGCAATGTATTTTTAGCCAGCATGCCTGACAGGACAGCCTGCACACTAACAATCAACTGACAGCCATGGTGACCCCACCATCACTGTTTTACTCAGATGAAGCAGTGGTGGATAGGCCTGTCTGTTAATGATGACAACTTTTTAGTCTCTTTCAAACAATGATAATTCTTTTTTTCCCCCTTTATTCTTTTATTTCTGGTAGGGGGACGGGATTAGTAAATGAACAGCTAATGCTATCATACTGAAAAAAAACCTTGCTGGAAACAGGAAGCCTTTCAGTTATATAGAAACAGTTTCTATATTAAATATAATCAGCCTTTTCTTTTTCAAGTAATACTAGTTAAAATATTTGATTGTTTGAGGAAAAGGGTATTAGGTAAACAGACGATGAAAATCTTTCAAATGGAATTCAGTGTTTTATATATTATATATCACTGTTTTTTGTAGTATTGTATTATCTTTCCATTTTCCATTTTTCAAAACAACTATTCTGCTCATTAAATGCTGAAAAAATGGACATAGCTTTAAAAAATGTATGTTGTTGGGACAATTGATTGATCACCGCCTGCAGAACTCAATTTTACAACCCCAGGTAGCACTGGCTCAAAGACAAACAGAGTTCTTCAACCTTTTTCTGTCCTTGTACCTCTGTACCCAGGTGACCATGTTCAAGCAAGCAGAAAGTTGATTTAAGGTTCATAATGACATCAGTTGTGGGCCATCATCCTTGGAATAAAAAATAGCCCAGTGTTGCTGCCTCTTTAAACTCTCAAGTTACTTTTCATAGAGCCCCAGTTCCACAGGGGATGATGACACCACTATTAGTTTATTGTTCCATCAGAATCAGACCTTTGGAGCACCTCTGTTTATGTTTCTGTAATCACTGGCATACTGATAGGCCCCCCTTAGGCTTAAAATATGTTCCTTCCTAATGCTGCAGGAACTATTATCCATAGCACACTGCTAACCAAATCAATCAATGACACCAGGGCTGTATTACCTACTGGTGTCCCTGATGTGTTACTATACGGATTACACTTCATGCATCGCCACATTCTTTGCTTTCATATTACTTACAAATTTGTCTTGTCACTGTCCCATTGCCCTCTTTTGGACAACTTAACTGATGTTCTCCAGTAATGAAACCTTCCTATGTTAAAAAAAAACTCCAGGATGGGAAGCTTCAAAGCACATAAAGACAAGGCGGCCAATACAGTCCAGCACTGACTGAGCACCAGCAGCTGTCAAATCCAGACTTTCTGCCTGCTAAACCACCTACAAGATGTAAAGCACTTTCTGGCTGAAATAAACTAAAGATTTATTTGGAAAAATATATTATTATTTGTGCTTATTTATGTTGAGGAATATTACATTCAAGGTATGTACAGTCAGGTATGATGAGTCTCTTCAGATACTAATAGAATAGTTTCCAAGATCTTTAACTGTAGAGATAAAATGAGAAATTCACAAATAATAAAACAATTTTTTCAGTGTTTCAACAATCTACAGTATGTGGTTCCCTTCTTTTAGGTTTCATTGAACGCTGTTAGTGGTTACATCCTTAAACCCATGTTAAAGCCAGGACCCCAAAATGAGATATTCTTAACACTCTGTGCACCTCACTCAAATATCAACAGAGTTCTGATAAAGTAATAATAAATGGAAAATGTCAAGCATTTATTGCGTTTAAAGACTGTTTATTTTGAAATGTTGCACAGCGTTAGGTGTCTGGTTATGGGGTCTATATTCATTAAAATTACACACAATACCTACTTAAATAACTGGAATCAAACACAATCTCAAACTCACTATGACACACATTTCAGTTTGACAAAACTACATTCAATACAGAACAATGACCTGAAGTAAGAAAAGGTTGTGATGAAAAAAAGTATTTTTCTATGTGCAGGAAATCACAAGATAGAAAGTTGTTTGTTTTGATGCTTTTAGAAATATTTCCAGGAACAAGCATGAGATTTATTAACTATGGCACAGATTTCATAAAGCCTGCACTTTATTCATGGTCTGGTTATTACAACTATATTTATTATGCTCTGATATACAGTATGTTAAACCCTAGAAACATATCTGAATTAAAGGTTGCATTAAATATGCGTAAATACATTTGTAATTAATGTGTACCTGTGATATTGGGCTCTTCTTTTAAATCAATTTAATTTTTTCTGTTATTTTATGTCATTATGTATTAGTTGAGCATGGTATTATTCAGCAATGAGTCCCAAACACATATCACACAAAAACTTTTCAGAAATAAATATTTTGGATAACTAGCTAGGATAACTAACTGCACAATCGTCACTTTCTGGTTCCCAGATAGCTTGAAAAACTGTCCTGCTTTAATAAACAAAAGATGATGATTATGATAATCTGCTTATGTTTATCAGGCCATCAATGACAACCACAAACTCGTATGTCAGCCAGTTATGAAAACGGCATTAAAAAACATCAGACATGCTGCATGAAAGTGAAAGACCACAGGCGCTACTTCTTGAATGCAGTTTGCTGTACACAAGACAGAATGCGTTAGGAATCTAGGCGAGCAGGCGATGAGGCAGGAGGGAAGCAGTACTTGCCCTGAGTGAGAGGTTGCAGGGGCAGAGCTGGCTGGCCAGGCTGGATCGTGAGCAGACCTTGCCTCTGCAGGTTTAGGAGGTGCTGCTGCTGTAGCTGCTGTACCTGAAGCAGTTGTTGCTGGAAGGCCAGCTGTTGCGCTGCTGCCTGCTGCTGCATAAATAAAACATGTTTTAATCGCCCTTAATCCAGAAATATTTCCAGTCTTTATCACACACAGCCTACCAATCTCATGGAAAACAGTGACAAAACACACAACCAAATAAAACATGTAACATCCTTTAATTGGCCTTGTTACCCATTGCAGAAAACAAAGGCTAAAGAATTCAAAAAAGGAAAACAAAACAACCTTCATCATGTTTTGGTAATTAGCAGTGACAAACAATGAAACAACACTGTAAATCATTTATAGAAACAGCCACGGGATTTTAATTACAGACATTCATAACTGAGCAAACAACATCTGACTCAATGCAAAAGTTTAACATCCAGTTCAGAGTTCAAATTGCTTTAGCAGTTCTGTTTCCTTAACTGTGATGATTTTGCAGCCATTCAAAGCTGTGCAAGTGCTGCCCAAGTTAAACTGTCCAATTTACTGTAGCTCACAAATAAAGAAGGTGTCAGTATGGTGCTGATAATTTACTTTCTTTTAAATGGTGGGCACGTATGGTTTGAAGTGAATGGAGAACCACAATTTCAACATTTAAAATAAACATGTTATATGTATTTGTACCTTTATAAGAATCTGTCAGATGATGACTGACTATGTAGCTCAACAGAAGTTAAGGAAGCAAAGGAAACTATAAATTCAAAGACAAGTCCCCTTAACAGTAACAAAAATGTCAGTGAGGAATTCTCTCCAGCAATTCCCAATGTGAGCCAAAAAAAGATTGAACAAAGATTTCCTCTAATAATTATCCAAGTGATAGAAAGACAATCCACTTTGGTAAGCATAATAAATAGAAGGAAATTATCTAATATCCCAAATCTGCCAAGAATCAAAACAAATCCGAGATCTTATCTAGATAATAGCTTACAACTGTGAAAAAATAATTTCACTCTCTGATTAACTAACAGCAGAAGAGGTGGATATCTTTTTTGAAGTAAATAAGAAAGTTATACTTCAGGAAACAGCACTTAATCTAAATCCAATTATATACATGTGCAACACTCTAAGATCACTGTATCACCATACCGCTGTAAATTACGATTCTAAGATTTCTGGGAGTATTGTAAAAGAATTAAAGAATAAAAAAAAGGTAAGGAATGGTTTGTAATTTTTTAGCACATTCACTTTGCAGATATAACCCAAAAGGGCTGGTTATGGGTCGTCTAGCATTCCATGAGGCTACTGTACAGTATGTGTGCAAGATGTATTATTTACATAAAAGAGAACACTCTTTCACCAGAATCCGTTTTCAATGTTGTTTTGTTCTTTTTTGAGGAAATTCAAAACAGTACCAATATTTTGCATAAGAGAAGCCAGGATATAAAAGTATACAAGGCCAATTGTCCAAGAAAAAAAAACATTAAAAGCAATACATGCTGCCAAGCTGTGTACCGCACCCAGTTACCAAACACAGGATACAACAGTTTGTTTACTTCTCACAATTGAATGCACACAAAAAAGGTCTCGGTGCAGTCCTGTTGTCAGGTCAGTAGTCAGTGTTGAAATACTGAAATATCCAGATAAAACATTCATTTTCAATCCCTCCCTAATGTGCCTGTCAAAGGTCTACTCTGTTTTCCTAGGCACACCCAACAAGTTCACCAACAGTTTGTCATAAATACATTTCCAAGTTATTAGCCGAGAAGCTTTTTCATCCCCAAAATATTCTGGAAAATTCAAAAGCGTGTTTTATTGCCATTTACAATTTTTTTTTTCCAGTTTGTAAGGCTGCTTTCATGGGGGTATGTTTACATAGCTCTAAATGGAAACCTTTAGGAAACTGATAGTTTGAAGATATTCAAAATATGATTTTTAAAGCTTTTAAAAGAGAAAAAAAAGGACATCACACCTCCTTGTATAAAGCAAAATATTCTCTGCACGTTTCTCCTAAACTAAATTAAAATTTAGATTTCAGCTATGATAAGGTACAGTTATGTGTTCTACATCTATTAAGACAGAAGTATTTCTGCCAGAATGCTCACGATACAGAAAATCTGCTGATGTCTTACATGCTGTTCAGTCCTGTTCGACACTGCTAAACAAAGATGGTGGCGGGGGATTCATTCAGAACAATAGCTTTTATCAACGCTCCAAATAAATATGTGGTGGCCTTTAAACTGAAAATTGCAAATGAGTTTAACTTTCCCCCTTCATATTTCTTTCCTCTTATGTCAGCTGATCAGAACCCCCACATTCTCACAGCGTGCAGGCTTACATTAAAAACTTGGACTAATAGACCAAAGAAGAGGTTAATAAGAAGTGGCAACAGAGAGAGAAAAATACAATCGCTGACAAATGATAAGAATGACAGTGGCAGCCCTTTATTGTCAGCCTTCAAATATAAAGTTAAAGATCTTAGAAAAACTAAATTTTGATGTCTTTAAAATAAAAGCAGCACAAAGTAACAACAGGGGGTTATTGTCTGTGAGCCACAGGGGAGAAGCTCAGTAATTCTTATTCTCCCTTTTGATGGCTGTTAGAAATCCGATTCAAAAAAGCAACAGCAGAAGGAGAGAGCCTCTTGAGGCTACAGCCATTTCCTGTGATCATGCATAATGCGCTTCAAAAGTTGTTTTTTTTTACCGATTCTGCTGATCAATTGCACCTCCTTCTGATTCGCCGCCTGTTTTTTTTCTGCTGTGTTTACATCAGATGCGACTCAATGACAAGCAGTATCTAAGACTAAGAAACAGGGCTGTCATGTTGATTTATGGAAGCATCAAACCACAACTTGTCCAAACTGAAGCTTGCAGTTCATTAATTAGAGAGCTGTGACTTTGAAGTCAGTGCTTAAGAGTGTGGTTTTTAACATTTGGCTTAATTTATATGCTTTTTCAAACGTGGCTCTCTGAGGGAAAAAAAACTGAAAATTCCCTGCTTGTCTTTGAACTTCTTTTGACCGCACAATAATCATTTCTTTGTCCACAGTGATGCCTGTATCCCCGAGTCATTAACACGCATTGAACTGCTGCTGATGAGTAAGCCCTACTGAACTAGGAAAAAAAACAGGCAGGACAACAAAGCTGAGAGCATTCTGCACAGTGATATCTCACAATTACATGCCTTCTATCCCTGCTCCATTTCCATGTTAATTACTCGAGAAGCCTTTTAGATTTATGCTACACATTTTTTCAAGAGGGTTTCTCAATAGCCTTTTCTATTCTGCAGTTTCAGTTGTTTACTTCTGAAAGACCTTGGAAAAAAAACTGCACAATAAACACAGCTTTCATTACATACTGTATGAGTTTTGTAGATGCTGTCTACAGTTAGAAGAATAGAGGGGTTTCATTTATTTATATCTACAATGAAAGGTCAGCATGTTGATCATGGGTAAGCCTCATATGGTACTTTTTCTTACACCCGCAGAAGAGTAATAGGATTAAATATGCTTATAATCCAGGCAATCTGTCAGTTTACAGAAGACTTAAATTGTGTTCTTTAACTTAATGAATATAAATGTATAGAGTGTAATAAGTGTGGAAAGCAATCTTGTTCTGTACCTCTTTACTCTGTTTTCCAGCATGCTGCTGCTGTAGAAGCTGAAGATGTAACTGCTCCTGTTGTTTCTTATAAAACTCCTGAAGCTGCTGCTGCAAGCAAAGGTTTAAACATAGGTGAGCATGAAGGCAAATATTAGGGAAATTTAACCTTATATTCAGCGTAATATGGATTGCCTCCCTCCCCAATAAAATGGTGTTTTAGTTTAAAGCATTGCCAGGTAATTTCATGGTATGGCATGACGATGTATAATTAGCTTCTGACATCATTAAAAGCAGAAAATGTCCTATTTACGCTAACAGTTGGCATTGTTTTACCTGATTGACCTGATTACAAACACAAGACACATCTGTATAGATCTACAGGCATGCACATATTACACAGTTTCTACAAACTTTTTTTTTCCCCTGGGCTTCTGCCCCCATGATTGCAATGAAACATATTAAGCCTTTGTATTGAGGTTTCGTCGTCTCAAGCCTCAGAATTTGCTTTAATCACTTACGATTTGTGTGTAGTGGACCAGCTATAGCAAAGCAGCTCTCAACGTGCACTGTACCTGCTGTAACATGAGCGCCTGCTGTTGCTGGAGCAAGACCTGTAGCTGCTGAGGGGTCAGCACTTGTTGCTGAAGGATCTGCTGCATTTGTTGAGGAGTAATCACTTGAGGTGTCATCATAGCCACTGATACTGGAATCTATAACAAAAAAAAAATAATATAAAGGTGGCTTTTACATTTCAAGCACACTACAGGAAGATTTAAAAGTGTGTCACCAACAATTTCCAGAAGCGCCACAAAATTGCTAGGACATTTTTTTTTTCCTGTAAAAGCAACGCAGAAACCCTCTTATTAATGACACAGCTAATATATTTGATATGGGACATAAAACTTGCATTACCTGAAACAAATATTTCGTTTTGTCTTTGCTTTCACTAAGAAATACAAAATCCAGATGTTAAAAACATACCAGAGAGGTAAATGTTAAAACTGTAAACTAACTCAAGTACTGAAAAAGCCAAGTGTACAGATGTACAAAACAAGTGATTTGTGATGACACTGAAAGTGGCCAGCAGTTCCTGAATTCCTTAATTGCTTCTGCGGCATTCTGAATTCAGCCTGCGTACAGATGCTGCCAGTCTTTCATATTATGTGAGATACCATTAAAAGCTCCTTTCTGTGACATTTTAGTGACAAACAGCTACAGAGATGAACTTGATAGTGTTTCACATTTGCAACTGTTAACATGTCTCTGTGCATGGGCATCTTTGTGAGAAACCTGTACACTGTATCTAAAAGGATGATGTCTTGTTCTGATAACAACGCAGACATTAAGATGACAGTCTGTCTTCACCAAGGTTATACAAATTGTATTCAGGCTTATACCTAATGACACCACTTTGAATTTTTCATACATTTTTGAATGTAATTTAGTTACCAAGAATTTATTTAAAAGATCTGATTTATTTTCTTACCAAGAACACATGAATATTGCTGTTTTCATTATCCAGCATAAAAAACAACAAATCACACATAATGAAATGTCACTAACTAAGGGCTGGTCAAAATTGCATAACCTAATTAAGGTTTTAGATTCCTGTAAATTGATGCTAAATTTGCCTGTACACTTCTTCCACTGGGTTTTTAGAGAACGAATTTAGAGCAGAACTCCTTTATATATCGAAGGGCAGCAATGTTCTATTGGAAATTCTAGCACTTAACTGTTCTAATTTACATGATGCAGCAGGGATTGAATGAAAATGCAATATTAATTCTCTCTAGTATTATGTCTTAATATGCAGTCCATCTTGACTTTTTCACATGGTTTGTCCTGTCATTTGCATAGCCGGGTCTCATTCCTAATTTCACAGTCATTATGCACTGATGTCCTGATTTCTCAGCATCACTAATTTTGATGAACTAAAAATGGTTTTTGAAGGTCAACTAGGCAGTCTATCTACTCTTGTGAAATATATGTTGGGAGATATAACTGACCTGAACCTGCACACATTTTTATTTTTCCCACAACATGCATAATTATTTCAGAGTACTTTAACCAACATTTTAGGGATGTAGAGATTCTACTATACAGTATGTACATAACCAAGGCTATAATAGGATTTCACTTAATATGCCATTGTAAGATTTTTCACATGTATTTTTTGGATGCTTTATAAGTAAACAAGAATTTTCAATCGCAATAGGCAGAGAGATGCACATTGATTTAAAACATACACAAAAGAATACCAAACAATTTTGATATTGAGACTAAGTGACTTCTCCCTTGATATCCTAGGCCGCACTTGTATCTTTTCATTCTATCTTTCCCTTATGCTGTAACTAATACTAGGCATCAAAGATTATGCAGCTCTGGCAATAGGCTATTACAGCCTACACTTTATTACCCATTACTACCGAGGTCATTAGCAGCAAGAGTGATTGTACAGTTCTTAACCTATTGATCACTGTAACTACTACCATTTAATCCTGTGCGGAATGACTGGAAATCTGCTAAAGACAGGGGGCTATTGAAGAGAAGGGCCAAGGGGGAAGGGGGGCACTTTAAATAAAAATATAGCCCAGGCTCATGTAACTCAGAAAAAAAAACTATGCCAATCTGGTTCCCACAATGAGTATACAGTAAAGACAAATGCGACCCCCAATTGAAATACAAGTAAATAAATATGAAATATTCAATTTGTTACGAATATGCCAGACACACAAATAAATACATCTGAAGCACATTTAATCATTATTAATGCAGAACATGTACAAATAACAAAATAACACATGCATAAAATAAAAATGCTCTTCATATATTCCATTGCCTGCAACTTCTAAAACATAACAAACGTTATTATGCTGTAAATGAAATTAGTGGTTAGCAAGCACACACACGGAACCATACCTAACTTAACGGCACCACTTATTCCCTCTCCTATTATTTTGTGTCGTCAGGTGTATCAGTCTGTCTATAGAGATGAGTGTGTGCAGAATTTCTCTCCAAAGATAGTAGAGTGATGCACCAAGGTGCAAGTCTCGTGGAAAACCTTAGGAATTAGGAAAAACCTTAAAACTTTCCTAATTTGTGTGTTTTCAGCTGCAAAAGAAACAATAAAAAGTGTTTTGGAAATTTAATATGCATGCTGAAGTGGATTTGTCTCTAAGACCCATTGCAAACGTTTTTGCCTTTATCAAAATACAAGTAAAAATTACATAAAGAGTATGCTGTGTTATTACAAAGAACTAAAACACATGTAACATCTGTAGTCATTACAATGTATAAACAATTTTGTAAACCCAAATGTGCTGTAAAAGCTCCTTATATCCGAGATCCTTTGCTTGTTGATTTTTCACAAAGCTGACACCGAAAACACAACGGAATAATTATTTAAGCTCCAAGCCTGCTATAAAATTCAGCTGTAGTTCATAGCTTTTCTAAACAATAATTTGTACAATAAATAATTAAGATTAAACTTCAGTAGGAAAACAATTGAACTGTAAATGCCCTGTTTAAAACATTTCTGAAAAAAACGCCACACAGAAAACAAAATTAACTTAATTCTATAGGAAATTCTCAAAGAATTTTATGTAGGGTGTGGCACTAACCAGGTGCATCATGTATATACACTTGGAAAAGAAATTAAAAATACAGCTGCACCATGACTAAAGGCGATATACCAGTACAGGCCTGCTGTCAAAAGTTGAAACATCTATTTAATAAGGAAAAACAGTGTCTTTTATTAATTACAATGACTGTAAACTTCTGCATTTGTAGCCGCAAGCAAGTTTCAGACACGTTTCATATACCTATGAGTTATACTTTTCATTTATTAAAATCTAATGAGGGAAAAGCCAGCAATAAAAATATACCTGTGAGCATACAACCAGATACACCAAGAGAACAGGACATTTAGGTACATGTCCATTTAATTTTTTGTAAAATTAAAGTGTAGAATGAACGAGTGTGGAATTCCATGTAGCATTTAGTATATGTCTTCACATTTTAATGACAAAGAAATCTAGTGTGTGCTGTATTACTTCACAGAGTACAACCCACAGAATTGAAGACAGCTGCAGTCATATGTAGTCAGAAAATAACAGGTGACAGTAAAGCATTTAAGAGGTTTTTAAGCAGACCTATTACAGTAATTCAATTTTTTACACTTTCATTAGACACATTTATTAGACCTTAATATATATTTTGCACTACATACATTTATAGATCATTATGTTTTAGATGAATATCCTTCCAAGGTCAGTAAAATGCTAATTAGCTATTTACTTAAACTTCACCACAACAGTGTCAGATTAACAAAAACATCATTATAGTATTACACAATTTTGTGTTTCTTAAGATCCAGAAACATCAAGAACATATTATGAGATGCAACGACTTTTTCCTGACAGTTAGCCCCTGCAGCACACTGCCTTTTATCATCTGTAACACAAATTATTACTAAACAATACTACAGTATATTCATTTTTAAACACCAAAAAACATAGTTTATTTGTTATAATAAATCTAACGTTCATTTTAAAATTACTATGGGATTTCACAAATTCTGTGTTTCAAAATCAACTGTATTCAACAAAATCAGATATTTGAATGTAGGTTGTTTCCAAATATCAAACATTGACTGCTTCAAAAACATTTACACGCATAAGGTGTTTATAAGCACTAACATTTTTCCTTTCTTGTGATGCATAAAATAAGTCTAAATTTATAAGCAAAACCTCAAAGATCCTCTATTCAAACATTGTGCTGTAATTTACAAATTTCATATGAAAATTACAAAGCTTTGCATAAAGGAATGAAATATATATAAAAACAATGGGGGAAAGCTATATTACTGTATCCTGTTTTACATGATTAATTTGTTTAACTGTTTTTTATGTAAGTGTGGGAAATGAGCTATTCAGTGCATTACTTAGCACTGAAACTACTGAAATTTTGAAACAAACCTGTCCCAAGATCATATCAGAGTTATTATTGTAAAACTACACAAATAAAATAATTGGGATTTGTCAATTGAGTTTAGCTATTACAATAATGCAACACACAAAAATTACATACCGAACCGAGGTGGTGTGTGTGTGGGGTTATGACAGTGTATAGCTGCTTTCAGAGAAATACTGGATTCTTCAGTGTGTTGAAACACCATTTGAAATTAATACATTTGCAAGTCATTAAATATCAATACAGGTTACTTGCTAAATATAAATGTATGGACATTTGAGCAAAAAAAAATTCCACCTTCAGTTGTGCGTCACGACTAAGCAGAAGGATGTAAATTATATTCTAATGAGAAAACATCAGCCGTTCTTCTCCCGGTCTTGAAATTCATGGATTCACGCTTAATGAAGACACACTCCAACCAATGTGCACTCCAAAAGCCAAAGGTCAAAACACATTCAAACAAGGAAAGGCAAAATCAAGGCAAATGAAGACCTCTAAAAGGAACCTTCCCTCAGAGTGGTATGGCAATTAGAGTAATTGTACAAAAAAAAAAAGCCGACTTCTCTGAATGATATCAGAAATTAAGCTGCCAGTGTAGGAACAGGTTAGATGAAAAATCAAATTTTAATGTATGCTCCCTCATGTCATCTTGTTTTGTTGAGACATCAAATAGAATTGAAAAGTACAAAATAACAAGCCCTTGAGAAATCAGAGAGGCCAACCTTTTTGATGTTGTTAG